TGCCTGTTAACCCAAACATGAACTACTATCCCAACCGTGATCAGTCACGTTGACTCATTACCATGGCGATTAGAAGTCCGTCCAACCATCTGCACAGTCACGGTGGATTTCCACAAGAAAAAGGGCAAGGTAAACACTATTTTTATTCCGTTTCTTTAAATGCAATGCTATGGGGGCTGTGACAACACTTTTAAGAAATTGGGTCTTTTTTCACCGTGTCCATAGTTCGTTTTAGGTCCGTTCCTCTATGTTTCTCTACGTCATATCCGCAGACCCCCCCCCCTCCCCCACCATATCATTACATTCTTACCGTCCCTGAATTTATGTTCAAGATGAAACAGTAACAATTGTGGACATTACGGCATGGCATGCATGATAATGGCAATACGTCTCCTGCCCAACTCCTGTATTTCACAAAATTTGCTGTGGAAAAGCTTTGCACCAGCAGCTTTGCCACACCAACTTTTGTCACAACAAATGCTCACTGAATGGATAATACCGTTCTGGCATTATCTATTCGTGTGCTCATATCATGTAAAAAAAACATCTGACGTAGATAAGGCATCCCAACTACCATAGCCTGCTTCTTGGTGCATCATCTAGTAAGGTCATATCTCGTTACATATTCACCCTGGACAAAGTACTGTCTGATATGTATGGAAATCGCAAAATTTATGCAAGGCTTTCCACAAGCTCTTACCGTATGTCTACGGTGTTCCAAATAGTTAGATACTGCCCACTCAAAATATACGAGGGAACACAGTTGGGGCCGCATTCCAAGTTGTAGTTCACTCAGCTGATATGGAATTAGAGCTTGAATAGTAGTGCATGTCAATTTTTCTTGAATGCTTGCTGCGCTATCCTGAGGAGCAGCCGCCCCCGACATCCCGTGCTGTTCCAGACTGCCCTTGCTGTTATCCCTGAACACCTATGCTGCACCGCAATGATCATTTCCTGGGAGCAGGCTGTTCCGCAGCATTCGATACGGTTTTCCCGGGAAGTTAGACTGTCCCGCGATATGCGATTCAGGCCAGTTGTCGGTGCCTCGCGTCACTTGGCTCTAAGGGATCTCCAATGGGCTGGATGACACCATAAGCAGCCAAACTAAATGGCTAAATCCGCGGATTGGCTACGGAAGTTGGGAAAATGTCAAATTCGAACATGGGGACAGGCACAAATGTGTACAAAAAAATCATTAGGAACATAAATGCGCGCACAGGAAGTGGTGTCACTTTTGGCAGCTTGCCAGGGGCTCAGTTCTATTGTACAAATATGTCAATCATATCATTTGTTATGGCTTATATTAAAGTCATATTTTTATATGTTTCTGGATTAATGCAACCACCATACATGTAGCAAGGCCATCATAAATCTGATTAATACTTGAACGAAAATTGGTACAGACATATAACCTAGAAAATGTTTAGTGTCGGAAAATGAGCTTAACAATGTAAAATGAAAATACGGTGCACATGAAACTTCAATGCAGTGGTGACTACAAATACAACAGTCTCTGTCTTCTTTTCAGTTTGCACAGCCCGTAAGTTATACACAGTACAGGATACAATACCCCAAACGGGTGGGTAAGCAGGCGGTGAAGCCCACATGCAGTGGGTAACCGGGAGGGTGAAGCCTGTGTGCAGTGGGTAACCGGGAGGGTGAAGCCTGTGTGCAGTGAAGTAAGCGGGAGGGTGAAGTCTGTGTGCAGTGGGTAACCGGAAGGGTGAAGCCTGTGTGCAGCGGGTAACCGGGAGGGTGAAGCCTGTGTGCAGTGAGTAACCGGGAGGGTGAAGCCTGTGTGCAGTGAGTAACCGGGAGGGTAAAGTCTGTGTGCAGTGGGTAACCGGAAGGGTGAAGCCTGTGTGCAGCGGGTAACCGGGAGGGTGAAGCCTGTGTGCAGTGGGTGGGCGCGCAGGTGAAAACCGCCTTCAGTGGGCGGCGGGTGGTTAACTCTCGCCAGTGACGGCCTCCGCCTGGCTTGTACGTGCATAATTTTTGTCCTACATCATGTGAATCACGCATCTCAGGTGTATGCGCAGCAACATCCTGAGACATTTCTCACAGCGTGGAATCAGTTTCGACTGCATCGTTATTTTCCTGCTTGTCATCGACAAATATCTGACCTTCAATAATGAACGGCATAGATGCTGTTAATCACGCTGCAAATGTCAGGAACAACCCAGCTTTTCTTCTCTTCGCTTAAACTACGTTCGCCACACTTGCTTGGCCACACTGGCACCATGTCAGTTGCCAAAACAAACATTCCAGCAAACGGGGTGTTTTAAATTGGCCAATAGCCGACCCGTGGCCACAAGAGACAAGGAAAGCCTCACAGCCAGGCAACAACGTTCCTAAATGAAAACACACAGAACAATTTATGAAGATAGCTAATAAGTAATATCCTGTTGAAAACGTCACCTGTCCATAATTGTTCAAACCTCGCTCTAAAATTCACAGTGGACGGATATTTAGGGATCGATCAGGGTTAAAAAGTTTGCTGTTATTATTCAAACTGACTTAAAACAAGCCTGCATCGCATAATTACTCCACTAGCGCCCAATGTTGTCTTTGCTCGCAAAGTCCCGCACCGAATTGAAACGGAAAGCACCAAGCGGTTGACTCTCAGCACGCACCGCCGAGAACCGCGTCCTCGGCACAAAGCCGCTGTGATGAAGACTGGACGGGAGCCTGTCAGCGCCCACCATCGGGTCGGGGAAACCGTGACCGTGCCGCACATTGTGGTAAGAAAGGCTGCCCACTCTGCAGGGCGTTGTTTGGCAGACGGCTCCGCTCTCTCGGCTAACGAGCCCGGTGGCCGGGGTGAGCCGGCCAGTGCTGCGCATCCGGTGGCATGTTAAGGGGGTCACGTGTCCCCGGAGGCGGCGGTCAGATGACGCGCTCGAGAGGGGGGGGGAGGGGGGACGGCACGGCTCAGCGACTTGGATGCAGCGCGAGGTATGTTTATGGAATGCCCGCTCGCGCAACGGGCATGATGGTCTTCTAAGATGTGACTCGCCGTTAATGAGTGATGCTAAAAAAGCTCCCATATTTCCGTCACCTAATTTCCGTTAGCGTCAGCGTATTTCCACAAGCACACGACATCGTTTTTTTCCCAGCAATAATACGGATGAGCACGTTGTTAAGAAAAGAAGTATACAACGGTCGGCTGGTACCATCTCCTCCCCTGCCGCAACGCACTTTAACAGTTAAAATCGGGAGAACGGCTTCCCAACATCATCCAAAGCGTAAGCCGTAACTCTGTCCACCCACTCTCACGCCACTCATACATCCATTAATTTCAGCACACGTCAGAGCGAAAGCAAACATGACGGCTTCATTTTGCACACCCTCAATATGCAAATTTACTTAAAACAATGTGAACGACTAACGTTTATGCGTGATGATGGATGACAACCCATCATTTTCCGCCAGCCATCGCAGCGTGGAGATTGGTTTTCAGATTTGGTGTAGCAAAGGACACTGCCTTTTCCTTTATTTAAGTCCAGAAATATTACCAAATTTATAAATTTACTTGCATCTTAAGTGCAGCAACGACGGCTCTGCCCCTGGGCACCTAAGCAAGAGCTTTCCGGCCCGCCCTGATGTTAGATCAGCCATTCCTAGCCAGTGACATTGCCACTGCCAGACAGGGCTCCCCGTCAGACACCTTCCTGCGGCCGGCGGGTCCCCCGTAGCACTGTGAAGTCTGCAAGAGGCGCCCGGCTGGGAGTGCGGCGCGTCGGGGCCTCCGGGGCTGAGCAAGGTGCCCCGCACATGCTCCAGGGTACCGGCGTAGCCGTCCCGTTCGGGCCGTGTTTAGTTTGGGGCGCGGCCGTATCGTCCCAGACACTGGGTCGTGTTTTGGTGCCGGATACACAGAGGTGAGGCGAAGGGCCGCACAAGGGCAGGCTCTGTCTCGGCCGGGCTGTCACCGGGCTACGGTGGCAGACGGCCAGCTGGCGGCCCCGCCGGCGGCCGTCCTCAGGGGCACGGCGTCATCACAGCGTTACGACTGTGGCTGCTCGCGGCGACTAAGTTCCAGGTGTCTACTGTTAAGACACGAACCATGTGCCATTATGGCGGTTACAATCCCGTGCGTCTTCGGAAGGTACGAATCCAAGCCACATTAGCGGCCTCACTTTACGGCCGATCATGGGACGCGGGCCCACGTGGCCGCTGGTTGACCCAAGACTGGGGACACTACAGTGATTCCCCCGACGCGTCGGCTGGCAAGAGCTGTGTTGCGGTCTCCAGAAATGAGCGGAATGCATGACGACTGGGAATGACCAATGACCAGGCTACCAATGAAAACAACACAGCCCGGCGGCCATCGGTGGTCAGCCCCGCAGGCAATAATTGTGATCTTGCCTCAGTCCTGCTAACAACCAGTGATAACATACGTGCTCTGCCTGGATTACGAGTGGAGCTTTATAAACATCACCAAAGACCACAGTTCCGCCGAATCAAAGAGGTTTTGTTTTGAAGGTTTGAGAAATTTCGGGAAGTTTGTGTGAGATGCTAAAAGGACAGCGACAAACATTAGGAGGCAATGAGGCAAAGGCATTGTAAAGAGACACAGACACCACACACACGGCTTTGGTTGAGTGCCTACCAGCATCATGAATTCAAGGAGTACGGTCACGCTATGGCCGTAGGTACAACTGCCTGACTGTCTGGGCAGAATAATTAGATAGAGCAACGCGGTTCACTCAAGAAACACCCATTCACCTGTTATCTCCTAGATACCCTGCACTCTTGCACCGCGTCTTTTGTGACTTTCCCACAACAGATTCGACATCACAAACTTCAACTGCACCACACGTGTTAACTGCGACACCATCAAACTCTTATCCGATGCAGTTTTTATGTTCTTGAAATGAAATTCACAAGGCCAAAAAAGATCCAGCGATCGTGTTTTAAGTGTACTCCCAGCTAGCTGGCAGGTGAGCGGCGCCCGCGGTGGCCGCCCGGCCGCCAGTTCGCGGCGAGCCCCAACTGACCGAGCAGGTTACTCCTGTGCGTGAGCACCTTGCTGTAGACCAGCAGGTCACCGGGGCAGATCTGCATGGGCGGGATGACGACCATCGAGCTGCGCCGGTTGCGAGCCGTGCCATTCTCGGACGAGCTGCCGGTAGAGCTGGAGGGTAGCTGGCGCGTCTCGACACACAGGCCGACCACAGGCTGCGCCCTCGTTAGCGGAGGTGGGGATGATGCCACGCGCTGACATGCCGTATTGCGGAGGGCTGATGTGTGCATGCCTTAAAACGGCAGTCCGCTGATGTGCGGCTACTGACCACACCGAACACACGCTCGGAACACAGAGCGGCAGCTGCACGATGCAGCAGCTGCATTGGGCGGTCTCGTGCCCGTCCGCCCGCCACCAGCGGACGTATGGATCGTCCTTTCCCGATGTATTGGGCAGAGGATCCATCAGTCTGTCAGATAAGCATCTCGATAACTTCGATTGCGCATTCGGGGAAGCTGCTGGCTTTGCGGCGCGTCGCCGGGGAGATGCACAATAATCCGTCGCCGCGGCTGGCTGTATGACCTACCCCAGACCCGTGCCGGGTCCTGAATGGAACCGGAAACGATCCGCAGTCGCCCGAGTCTGCGCTGAATGAAAGTGGAGTAGATCCTTGGAAAATGTCTGGGAATTTGAATGACTAAGAGCATTGCTTTATGGCCACAGCAAATTTCACCCTTCGGAGTATTCGATACCTGTCGCTGATGCCATTCATAAACGTCTACTGCGAAGAAAGTTTTCTGCACCGACCGCAATACCGTAGCCCGGCATCGGCCGCAGCACTCACCCCTCGGACAGCTTGCGGGCCTTCTCCTCGTCAGCCTCGGCGTCGGTGGGGATCAGTTTCGGCGGCACCAGGGCGCTGCGACGGCCCATGGCCGAGGCTGGCGGCGCCTCCTGCAGACCCGGCTCCTCCTCCGAGATCCCCAGGCACCGGTCCTCCGCAGGAAACACGTCCGAGCCATCCTGGCCGGCCAGGCCAGGTCAGGTCACGGCGCAGTCAGTTCAGGTCACGGCGCAGCCAGGTCAGGTTACGACGCGCCAGCGGGAGGCGCGATCAGATCGCACGTGTTGGGAGGTGTCGGTGCAGCCACATTCACAGGTGTGGGCCACAGGGACGGTCCAGGCACGGGTCTCAAACAGCAGCGGTATAGGCGCAGCCACATTCACAGGTGTGGGCCACAGGGACGGTCCAGGCACGGGTCTCGGACAGCAGCGGTATAGGTGCAGCCACATTCACAGGCGTGGGCCACAGGGACGGTCCAGGCACGGGTCTCGGACAGCAGGGGCGGTCACGGTCGCACGTCACGATCATCAAGAACCGTCGCGGTTTTCATACACAGCAGGATCACGCTTGAAGTACCCCCGCAATCTTCCATCGCCGAAGCATCGATTTAGCTGACCTTATTCCCGACCAAAGTGGTTCATACCAAAGTTTCAGAAGGCATTGCCAGACTATAACTTAGTGCATGAAGCAATCGGCGCAGCAGTTCCTGCTGCAGTTTAACAGCGGTCGACTATCATATATATATATATATATATATATATATATATATATATATATATATATACGACTATTACGGGGAGGGCGGCAAGCTGAGCTAGTGTATGCCTAACTAACCGGACACTGAAACTTCAGCAACGAGGCCTACCCTGTGGCTCTAATATCTTTGTATCCATTAATCACACTGTTGTATGTTGCTATGTTGCTATGTTGACTATAACGCTTTCATATTTTCAGCGGCAAGAAGCACAGTCATTAAAAGCGGTGCGATAATGCGTTTAATGCACTTAAATGCGATTTATCTGATCACGTAGTGTATTCAGCAACATCATGGTTTCAAACCTTCATTGTATTAGCATGGGAAACACAACATTTGTAACACACAAATAAGCTAAAGAACGCTGGTAAGGAGTCGATCTCGGTTTCGGTAGCCAGGCGTCGCAGTGACATGAGAGAAACCCTACCAGCGGAGGTGAAAAAGGACAATTCCACTGACAAAGGCTTGAGTCGATCAGTGCAAACGGCGAGGCACAACTTCGCGTGAACGGTGTAGCAGCCCGTTTTCGAAGGCTGTTAGGGACTGGCGTCAAATCTCGGTAGCCAGAGGAGTAAGAGGCCTGAAACAGGCTGTGTTTTCGTTTACGTCTCTGCGTCTCTTCGTTTACGTCTACATGCCGGGCGATTTCAGTGCTGTCTGATCGATAGGTGCAACAGTAATAGATCTGATAGCCGGCGAGCATTTCTGAAACCGGCTCCGAATAGAACGCTCTTTGGCCTACGCCGAGACAGTTCTAGGCTACACAAACTACGTAGCGCCCAGCTCAGTTTTTGGCGCAACATCATTTGTCCCATGCCTTCGTCACCGTCACCAAAGTTAACTGCGTAACTAATCAAACTTATTTCACCTCGTGGGTTAAAACTGCCAGCCCGTGGTAGGCCCGAAGTCAGCCCATATTCTAAAAATATCCTTCGTAAATTAATGCGCGAATGCTTAACATTAAGTGCACCTTTGCCTCACCAGATCACGCAACGAGGATGCTTCAACGCATTGAGGTGTCGCATTCGTAATTGGTTCCCGCAGAAAACGAGCTCCATTCGCCCAGGTCTGTGTATAATGTACGCGGTGGTAACGTTAGTCACCCTTATCAGCTGGCTGTTCCCACATCGAAGAGGGTGTTTTACCGGTTATTGATTTGCGACCTCTCACGGCGCACCTCGTGCTCGTCACCTTCGTCGCGGTAGAGGTCCCTGATCCGTGTTACGGATGTATCACCCATAGCCGTCATGAACATGGCGATGAGCGTGACCGTGAGTCACGCCAAAAACCGTGACGGCGGCCGCGTCAAACTGAGCCGATCAGACGCCGTTCCCGTAGCTCATTTAGTGGAGCGCTGAGCATGTGACTCCTGCGCGGCAAATCAGTGGACTCGCGACTCAGAGCACGCGCTCCTGCGACAGACTCGTTAATGGAGATCGGCGAGTCAATCTCCATGAACTCGCCGACGAAGACAGGCCGCACTTGTCCATGAAGATTGACAAATCATAGAGGGCTGGCCGTAAGGATCAGGCCGGTTCGCGGTAGTCGTGCCATGGCGTTACATGGCTTGTTAAAAGCTGTCGACATAAGCTATCTGCTTAAACAGAGCTGCTTTATTGGTGCGGTGAGATCGAGGTTTTCGCGACAACCGTCATTCGATAATCTAATCCCAAGGTTGTTTCTGCAAAATTCAGCTTAAAATCATATGAATCGGTGTACCACGATCTTGCAAACTACGTTGAAGTCATATTTTACCTTTGCATGACAGCCTCAAGGTCACGGGAGTCGCGAAGACCTCAAAGTGCTTTTTACGGTGCGCATTTTGTTTAAGCGTCTCAACAAGTCATTCAGTTAAATCCGCGATGATAGCAAGGGCACTCGCTATGGCCCGTAAGCACAAGGTGCCTCCGTTCATTCGCTTAAAGATGCATGTGATATTTAGTCCATAAAAATAGTCTGAATGTGAGTCAGCACCTAGTTAGCAGGCAGCCAGCAGCTGCAGACTAAGATAAAACAAGACTCATTAATCTAGAAAATTACGCTGCCTTTTCTATTTCGCGTGTGCCGCGTAAGCAGGCTGCGTATTAACATTCTGCACAATACTGGCACGGCGTCTGAAGTCTTCACAGCACGCAGGCATACTGCGTCGACAGAGTTTTCCAGTGACGGCCATGGCGCGTTCACGCGAGGGCCACAGAGCTCTATGCACGTCCTTACGGCGGGCGGGGCAGGGCTGCTTTCATCGCCGCGCATCAGGCCGCAGCATTGTCTACTTGCGCATGCTCAGGCCCACTGCTGTTGTTGACAAAAGTGCTCACTCCACTGTATCAGGAAAATTATTCACGCTTGACTGACTCCCGAAGGCCTTAGTCGGTGATAAGCCTGCGCTTGCTTATTAGGGTAGTCCTTATTTCGCGACTTCACGGATTTCAATGTGGCCGCCGCCTTAACCTGTAAAGTCAGGCATGGAAGCAAACGCTGCAAAGATTGAGAGCGAAAACATGCTATTTAAAAATGTCACAAGACAGCTGTGATGGGTCAGATTGTGTGAGATATGGTTTTGCATTCTCCATTAGCCCAACATAGAGACAAATGATAAGCCCCGATTTGCATTGTTTTGGCCCTCTATGTTACAGAATAAACACATGTTCCTTTTCTTTCATACACTGTGTCAAATGCACGCGGTTTGAAGTACATTTAGCGTTGCTGCGACCGACCTGAAGCTTTTTTATACATGCATGGTCCCTCGTCATCTACAAGCGCGATCCGCCTGCACAAAATCAGGGAAGGTATATAATGCCATTGTAGAATGCTAGTGATTTTGTGATATTTGGAACATACTTATTGATACGGCAGGATATGAATACAATGCTAGTTCATGTTCCGTCCTCACATTTGACACAATGCTACATCCACGGATATTTCATATCCTGGTATACGAATCCCACCTTCCTCTGAGGTCGGCGTTTGACATTATTGTTCTCCCCCCCCCCCTCCCCTCTTTTCGCAGATGACCAATCTGTGGAAGACACACTGTGGTATTTCAGCACCTGGTAGATCAATTCGGCCTTTTTTGTGGTCGCAATTTGATGCAATATACTCCTCCCCTCTCCTCGCAGATAGATGCTCAATGTCATAGGTCCTGTTGTATATCTTTTGGTCGAAGAGAAAGCCAGCAGAAAACTTTCCTCCATGCGGCGAGTTCTCAATTGGTTTTCGTAGTTCCACCAATCTCGGGAGATGGCGTCCCGGGACAACAGCGAGGCTGCGGTTCGGCAAGTTTTGCAATGTACAGTTCCCAGACGGTCATCGTTTGAATTTGATGGAACTGCAGAAGCTGGCGGAAACATTGCCAGACTGAGGAAAGCTCTATATTGGTCATTCTTTCGAACATAGGAGGTACATCAAGGTACGTCCGCTGTTGACCTGCTGTCTGTGGAAGAGAGAGAGGAGAGAGAAAGAGAGAGAGAGAGAGAGGAGAGAGAGAGAGAGAGAGAGAGAGAGAGAGAGTAGAGAGAGAGAGAGAGAGAGAGAGGAGAGAGAGAGAGAGAGAGAGAGAGAGAGCGAGAGAGAGAGAGAGGGAGAGAGAGAGAGAGAGAGAGATAGAGAGAGAGAGAGAGAGAGAAGAAGAGAGAGAGAAAAAAAAGAGAAGAGAGAGAGTGAGTGAGGAGGGGAATGATATCAAACGGAGGTACCAGACAAATTTTCGCGAGACAACATTTACGGAATTTAACGGGTGATCATATATCACTATATATATATATATATATATAGATATATATAATAATATATACATAATATATATTATATATCCCTCTCGTCTCTCTCTCTTTCTCTCTCTCTCTCTTGAGAGAGGGAGAGAAAAAAAGAGAGTGAGAGAGAGAGGGGGAGAGAGGGGGCACCATCGGCCCTATTCCTCGTTGAAAAAACTGGGAGAAAAAAGAGACTTTTCAATATCTTGACTACTTGGCCTCGTCAAAACACATGTGAGCAGTAAATTGAAAACTGCCTGCAGATCCTACTCGATTCTTTAAAAAAAAAAACACCAGCTGCGCGCACAGATTGAACAGGTCACCAGCATTAAGGGAATGACAAAGATACAAATTTCCAAACATTGGAACAGTTTACTGCACAACTAAGGATAGAAATGATTAACACACGCGTGATGCAAACAATAATAAAATGATTTTTTGATAAGTTGCTAATTTTAATAAAATACATTTTAATACATTTTCAATTTTAATAAAACAAATTTGTAATAAATTTCAATACAACATGTACCAAGCGCACATGCAAACGACTTCAGGCAAACGCGTGTCACGCATTATTGCAATAATCACATTTGCATAATCAACCGGTACTCACGTCGGTTGCACGATGTTCGTCACTTTGACTAGCCCTGCGGTTTGAGGTCTGATCACCAACTTCATATCAGGAAAGATTCGCTGTTTTTCCTGTCCTGATTGTCCTGTGCTTTGTGTATGACATTGAATTCCAGCAGGGGGTCCGTACATGCCTGAATTTCAGCATGCGTGGGGGGCCAAACAAATGTCGTGGAAAGGGGTCTTCTTTATCTGGCTCTTAGCGTCTCGCAGGAATAGGGTACATGTACTGCCCGATATAGTTTATATTCCTCCCATGTTTTTTCGTGCAATGGACATCGTGCCCTTGTTAACCACAACTTTGTTTTGCGTGCAATCCTTTGCAAACCCAACTTTCACAACTTGCATATATTTTGTTCCCTCCCCTTCACAGCACTTTGGCCTCGAGATGAAAGCTTTCACCACATACTTTTTATCTTATTGTCATTCTTCCAAACCATGCGTATGCACAATTTTGGTTTTCTAACGACGAGCTTCATTCCCCACAGCAAGGCTTACCTATGCATGGTGATAATAAACAGCCATCGTCCAACGCAACGTGTTTACGTTCCGTTCCAATTCCGTTCCCACGTGTTCAGATTCCTTAAGCAGCTCCAACAATCTCACTTTAAGTCGTGGAACGTAACCATTGCCCTACAGCAAATATCACATTTTGTTCGCGCTTCTGCTTTTTAACTATACCATGAACTGTTTAGAGCCCTACGAAATATACTATGCCTGTAAAATACTTAGTGGCGGTTGATACGCAGATTGGCTGTGCAGAATTATACCAGAGATGGTGGGCTTGATATAGAGCCCTGTCTCTGACGTCATGTGGTCGTTCCTCACTTAGACGTAGATGCCTTTAGGCCCACTTTTTTCCAGCACCAGAGATGGCTCCTAAGAGAAAATTCAAACTCATCGCGATGCACTCTCAGTGAAAACCTCTCCTCGTTCTATTTACGATCTATCCAAATAAGCATCGGTAAAATATGCTACGGCTGGTCCGCCTTTAACATCCTGGCCTTAAATAAGCTTCACACAAGCGCACCCCTTACTTTCCAACGCTGGCAAACCGGCGCGACTGCCAAGCCAGCACGTGGCAAACGTAAATCCGTGCCGACCATTCTTTAGGCTGTGTAGAAGGCAATCGCTGCGCACAGACTTCACGTACGCGTGCCCTGACGTTGACGGCTCACCTCGCTCTGGACATTCGGGGACGGCAGGTTCATGTAGGCGTGTCCGCATCTGCCACCATCACGGCTGGATACCAGACCTGGGAAGGAAGGTCGGCTATGAGTTCGTCATGTGAGCTTTCTGCATTGCTTTGCGCAAAGTGTGCATTAAAAATGATAAAGGAAGTATGAGCGCTTTAATGATTCAAAACCTCTCGTCCTTATTATTTCCATGCTACTCCATAGTACTGGCTTCTGTTGTGACCTACCATTTATTACACACCACACACACACACACACACACACACACACAAAACACACACACATTATATATATATTATTATTATATATAAATTATAATGTATATGATTGATTTATTTATATCAAACATATATTACATACGTACATATACATGTATAGTATATGTATAGTATGTATGTATAGTATATGTATGTATATATGTATATATATATATATATTATTATATATTTATATGCATGC